TTAATTTCAGAAGAATATCATCTAAAATCTTTAAGAAGATTTTTTAAGTATAAAATCTTCTACTTACGAGAATATAATTTTTTCGGTGTAGTTAAGAAATGTTCGTCTCAAACGAGTTTTTAGCGTAAAATGTATATCGTGCGTAATATTTCAATATTTGCGGCGAATGGCGGATTACTTTCTGCGGATATATATCCAGTGTTCTGATTTTTCCACCGGATATGCACGCGTGCGCACGTGAAAGGCCGTCGTTAGTAAACACTCCGCCGGAGCGAACAGCGATCTTACATTTTACACTATCTTCCGGTATTCCGTGCATGTGCCAGATGCACTGGCGTAGACTTGTTTTTTTTTTTTTTCGCGATGGCATCGGCAGCGATAAAGAGACATACGTAATTAAACCAGATGTATAATATCTAATTAGAGCGTTCGTCGCCAATCGCTGACTCTTCTTTCACTCTTTTTCCGGAGGTAGAAAGTTGTGCGGAGGACATTGTTGTATTGTGTTCCGTAGAATGCGCACTAACTCTTGTTGCGCACTTGTGTGTGTTTGCACGTACGAAACGAGTTAGGAAATAACATCACGAAGAAAGATATCACCGCGTGAACATCCTGATGAAGCGAAACCACTTCAACAATAGTCGAAAGCGAACAATGCAATAACGCTTATCTGCTATTTGTTTCCCCGAGTCTATTCTAAATTTTCAACGCACGTCGACATTTTTGCACTTGTCGACTTTCCACACGTTTTATCGGAGAATCTACCTGTTATTATCCACGGCATTGTTTTGCAACGGTTTTTATCCGGAGCAACTGTTGCTCCAATTGTGTTTTTTACGAAACACCCCCAGCGACAGTTTTGAAATAAATATATTATAATATCTAAGAAAAATTAATAAATTATTAACGTAGATAAAAGAAGGCAATGGGAACCAATTACTGGTTGGAATGTAATTAACAACAACGTATATAAGTATGTTCCAAACGTTTCGACTATATTTTTTTAGTCATCTTCAGTGGGAACTTATTAAGGAAACAGTCCGTAAAATGACGACATAATAAATATGTTAAACCGTCGTCGATACTAAATTTCATTATTAAATTATTTTTTTCTCTAGTAAAATTATAATAATTTATTTTCTGCAATATCTTTACCGTTATAAAGTAATATTCTCAATAAATAATATTAGAAATACAGGTCTCTATCGAGCAACAAAAAAAGATCTTTTGGTTTATTAAAATAAAATATGATATAAAATTTACATAAATGTAGACGTTTCGGCCCTTACTTGAGCCCTCTTCAGTATAAAAAAACACAAATTAAAATAACGCCATTTCGCAAAGAGGATAAGAAAATGATGCAAAAAATATAAATCTTACATATGACAGTACATTTTGATGTAATAATGGACTTCAAGTCAGAAGTCGAAGATCATATACTGAGTAATATTCTCTCCGAGGGAATAATTCTCGTCATGTAAAATACATATTCCTTATTCTTCAAAAACCTTATATACATATAATTGCGCGTTATAAATCACGCGTATGTTATTGCGTTATTACTGTAAAATATTTTCTCCGTAATGTGCGGAGAGACGAAATATTCTCGCGGCACAAGATAAGACGTAAAAAAAATTGACACGAGAGAAATTTGCATTTCAATTGGAAGTCACCGAGATCTTGGAGCGAATTGACGGGGTACACATTTTTCAGGCTCTCGACATCATCTTCCAATCCCCATAGGGTCCGTAAACCTCGGACCCTGTACTCCCACGTCCTCGTGATCGAGTTCGAGCGTATCTTGTTCGTAGATTACGTCATGACTCCGCGATCTCGCCACGATGGATGGGATCCACGGTTGCGGCACACGCCTTTACCCAGAGCCAGAAAGACTGCAGCGGTTGTCAGCAAGACGACGCGGACGCGACGCCGAACACCAAGAGCCAGCGATCTGAAACCACCACTTTCGCGATAAAAATTGTTTGTGTTCAAAATGAAAGAAGATTACAAACACAACTAATGTTTAGTGTATGTGACGCAATACTTATGTTACATTTGCGCCGGACGAACGGTATGTCCACGCCCGGCGTGCTAATGATCTGGACTTACGGAGCCGTGAAGAGCCTGGGTGACGAAGTGGTTGGCGCTTAGCAATCCGGCGGCACCCAGTGTGGAACAAAGAGCACACGCAGCATGCCGGCGATTCCGCAGGTGCGAGATCCGCTATAGCCGCTATAGTGCACCGGCTGGTGCAGTAGCACGGAAACAAGAAGGACCGCTATTCCCAGCCAGGCAGCACCCAGAGCTTGACAGCCGGCGTATCCGGCGACGAAGAGCAGAGCCGCGGGGATAAAGTGTGCCACAATTTGTGTATATTTCACAAGTTCAGTATTACCGAAAATATCAAAATCAAAAAAAAAAAAAAACTAAAATATATTTTGAAAAAATATTTTTTGATATAAAACAAAAAAATTTGTTCAACTCGATACGTTCAAGACACTTTTCATGTTCAATTATAATTAATTAAATACATAAAATGACTTGACTAAGAAATTAAATGACAAGAATTCTCACGTAACGTATACCTGTGTAGACGACCAACTTTCTCGCTGTGGTCGTGGAAACTATTTTAGATTCGCGAACGTGATCAACCAGAAGACCGCAGATCAGCGCAGCCATGAAGTGACCGATGTGAGGTAACGTGGTCGACATCGAGTCCTAAATTAAATCCGGACTGATGATTTTTATTTCTGACGCATGACACGAATGTAAATTAGTTTAGCCGGAGATTCCAGGTTCGACTCCTGGCNGAGGAGTTTTTTTCGCAATATTTTAAATTAACAACAAGATATGTATAAGGCCATACGAGCCATTCTCAAGATGTTTTTGAGTAGAAACTTGTACGTGTATATATATACACACACATGTAACGAATTCAACTTGTAAATTTTAACAAGTGAGTGTTTTTTGAGTTGAAAACTCAATTCTTAAAATCATATGGGATGCCAGATTTGCATCTCACATATGACAGACCCCGGATACCCCCCTAACTAATTTTAAAATNTTGCGAAAAAAATTTTAAAATTTTTCGCAAAATTTATTTTTTCGATATATATGGCCTTATACATATCTTGTTGGCAATTTCACGAGCTTTAAGTCATAATTATTTTAAATTAATTTGGGAGGATATTCGAGGTTCTTCATTTACGAGATGCAAATTGAGCATTCTATATGATTATTAGAATTGTAATTACAATTCAAAAAACTCACGTGAAAAACGTGAATTCGATTATATATGTGTACACACGCACATATATATATAGACATATGTCCCGCATAACATTCAGCGAACGGCTCTCAACGACTTATCATTCATTTATTAGTTAAAGACTTCACAGAGCCCGAGATGAATCTCAGTTTTAATTGTTAAATTAGTTTAACCAACTAAAGCGTTAGCTGTAGAGAATCCATAGATGAGTACTTCAGGTACTTGGTCATGTCAAGAGCGAGCGTCGCACCGCCCCATTGATTTCCCATAGTCGCCACTGCGGACGCCCAGACAGGGACAGATCTCAAAAGCTTACCCCGTGGTATCACAGCTGTCTTTGATTGTCAAAAATACTTTATATTTAATATAAAAAAATTCTTGTAAATATATAAAAATTACTTGTACATGATAGTATCACAATAGTCACATAGAATTTAGTTGTATATAACAAGATCGTTGCAAGTACAATTAAAACGTTGTTGAAATAACAATAGGTCTTTCGACTATTTATAGTTTTTGTCGGATAGTCAATTAGCACCGGAGACGATAGGCTCCCGACAGCGCGACAGTCCTCATTAAATGGCTTGGAATCATTGCTTACGGTTGTGTCGTGTTGATAGGAGTTCGGAGTGTCCTTGACAAATCGACCGAAGGCGAAGTACCAGCATAGTGCCAGAAGAACGAAACCGTAGCACGAAGAATCTCGACCGAACGCTCGCACCACCGCGGTGCCCAGCCATCCGGTGAGACAGTAACCCTACGCTGACAGCTTAAATTGGAAATTAGAACTAGCTGATTAACTTGAAGTGTGAAATGCGTCTTCTCAATGAAATGCCTCGAAAAATTATCGTACAAGTCGAACTGTAACATCTCAAATAAATTTTTCATTTGAAATAAAGCACATTGTTTTCTCTCTTCTGTTCGTCTTATTCTTTATTGTTTACACGTTTTCGTTTACGATCTATTTGCGTAACAACTGAAATACCAGCTTCTGTGGTTGCTCTTAAACCAGGTCATCGCGAGCATGTGAGCACAGCAGGCATAGTCGCACCCTACAAAAGAAGATGTCGCAATAATTCTTGTTTCACATGGCATGGTTTGCGGTGCTATGCAAAATCGAGACCACGTC